AAAATACTCTTGATCGAATGGAAAAACGGAAAACAAAATCAGGCAGTTTCAAAAACCCTTAAGATCCACAGATGCCTTATTATGAGCCACCACCTGTGGTCTCTGTTACAGAGTGCGGGCTTTTCATTTATGTATACCACTGTTCTTGGTAACAAGCTGTTTCCCACCAGACGTATCAATTCATCATTTTAGCAAAGTCTCAAAGTACTCCACAGATGGACATTAGGGAGAAAAGCGATGTTCTGCCACCTGCATTTGGCAAATAATTTGTTCTTGAACTGCTGATCTAATTAAAACTAGATTTGAAATGCCTTGGAGAAATACAAGACTGTCACTTACTGAACTCTATTAGTTAAAGTGACATCCTCACGAATTACAAAATAAATGTAGCTATTGCATCTCTGAACTGTAGTCTAAAATGAAGTTCTTTGGGGAAAAAAATACGGATTAATTGCTACAGATCATGAATTGCATTCAAATAATTTACTACGACTGGGGAACTATTCCCATGGTGCCTCCTCATGGGGTTAGGTTAGTTAGAAGCTGTAGTAAAAGGTTCCCACTATTTTATCTAAAGAACTTGGCAATGTTATTACCACAGGAAAGTAGGCATCCACACTACTGAAGAAAGGTGAAGAACAATTCTTCATAGTATTGGTTAGTAAACCACCATGATTATTGAATCATAGTTATGGAAACCAAAGTCAACTCCCTGCTTATCTCAGTTATGTGGCTAGTATTAAGGAGAACTCTTGTCACCACATACTTCCCAAAAGATGAGCAATATTTCAAAAATATTACCCATATGTAAAAGCAGTGAGTCATAACCTTCTACTGATCATAACATTGTCTTATCGGTCACTTTATTCTAAATACAGACATTGAAATTGTTCTCTGTACAAATAAACTGAATTAAATGTTTCATTCAAACATGGTGGGAGTAGTATGGACTGGAGGGGAATGAGAAGATGTATTTATTTATTAGCTTCTATGCTAAATTCCATCATTTTGAATGTGAAATTGAAAAATACAGCTACAAGAAATTAAGTGAGTGCAGAAATGAACTGCAGAGGACAGTAATAAATGTGCTTTTAATAAAAATAACTGTGAATATTTCATCTATATTTATTTCAAGCATCATTGCAATCCTGAAACCTCTGCTCAAGCAACTGTTTAAAAACAAACAAGCCCTTTGCTTATGGTAATAGTCGAAAGGGATAGTCTATGATGTCGGTTTTTACACTTATCATACATTTCTACTACAGAGCCAATTTACAATCTGGAAGACTTATCTCAATGTAATTAGAAGCTTTTCTTACAGTCAGTTACTTGAATCTCCCTTAAAACCATCAGCCCCCAAATCTATGTGTCATTAATGCAGCCAGTGAAGAGTCTCAGTGGTGGTCAGAAAAACGGGGCCACAACAACATTTGAACATTTATTTAGTTCAGTACCAACTTGATCACCATCATTTGCATTACTCTCCATTTGGCTCACATCAGTCTTACAGGTGAGTACAATTTTTTTTTTCATCAATTTGGAAAATTCGTAATCTCACCATCTTTTGAATTTGGGATTTCTAAGAATTTAGGGAATGAAAAAGATTCCCCAAACATCCTCTCTTTCATTCTCAGAGACAAAAATGGGGGGAAGAGAAACAAGGCAATGGGTCCCCGGTAAATTAGATTGCTAATTTAGTTGCAGCATACATTCAAACTAAAACTAATTCTATCTTTGACTTTAAGAGAAAGGCTCTCTTTTGACATCAGTATAGGAGATTTGGTTGCATCTTAGAAGAAACCTCCTTTAATAAACTTTGTTGCAATTTCCCAAAGTTGAATAGGCCATCATTATTCATTTAGATTTCCTGTCTCTTTCTATATGGTTTTAACCATTTTCTGCCTATTAACCCAAATGTAATAGGATAGGTAATGATATACAATGGAACCTATTTAACTACATCTTATTATTCCAGATAAAATAAAACAAAAACAAAGCAACCACAAATAGTTTTATTTAGCCCCAAAGTTTTTAAGTAAGTTTACATGGACACACAACTTATTGAAAGGTGACTATAGTCTTGGTTTAGTTTTATGATAAGTTTTTCCTAAAATGCCGAATCATTGGCTATATATTCCATCACCTTCCAAAATACTTTTTACTAACAAATATTTCAACTATTACTATCATTATAATGAGTTATATTGAAACTTAAGACTTTGTAAGAGAAGGCCACAAAACCAAAGTAAAGCAAAACCCAAATAACTGAGGTAGCAGATTTCCCTTCATTGTGATAAAATGATATTTAAAAGTTCTATCTAAAAGCAAAAAGTTAGGTTAATTAGAAATGAAAACGCATCATTAAACAAGTCAAGTAAACCCTAGATTATTAAGTCATCTAATCAGCATTTGCAGAGAGGGTGCTAAGGACCAGGAAGTGGGTTATGGAGATAAAAGACATAGTTTCTGCCCTCAAGGAATTCACAGCCTAGTAGAAAACAGAGCAGACACCAGGGGGCAGTGTGACAAATGCTAGAAAAGAGACACAATGAGGTCAGGAGGGGCAGGCCCCACTCTAGCCATGTGGGATTCCCAGGGAGGATGACAAACCACTGGCTTTTGGCACAGTAGAGAGGGGGTGAGAATCTACCAGGCAACAGAAGATCAGGAAAAAGTTACAGTGGGAAAAAAAGAAAAAGTGTGCATTTGAGGAAATAAGGTTTATGGCAGGAATAAAAAATTTGTGATAACTAATAGCAAAAGATGAAACTCAAAAGGTAAACATCTTCAGAACATAAAATGCTGATCATATTTCCACTTCTAATCCTCAATGCCCAATAAAGCATACTCTTTAATCCCTTTAACTACCATATTCAAAAGACTTGGGTTTATTCTAAAAATTTTATTTAGGAAAAATTTACAAAACCTACTAACCTCCATCTTAAAGCAAGTTCTACCATCAGAACAAATCATTTCTACAGATTGTGCTTTGACAATCTTTATATTTGACTGTGCTATTTAATCGTGTTAACTGAGAAATCAACCTACTTTTTCTCTTTCAATGCTGTTTGGCATCAAGTCTCCACAGCAAAAGAAAGGGAAAAAAAATCTTATTTTCTCAGGAGTTTTCTAGCAGCTTAACATCTGACCTTCAACTTCAAAACTAGATGTCATCTCCCAAGTATATTCCATGAATGCAAGACCCACCAAATTAAACACCTGTGATTGTACTTCCAGTCCAACAAAAAATGCTATATCCATCTCACTAGTAAAATTCTGTCAAAGCAGTCAAAGAAACATTCTGTGCACATTTGTGACACAATCCTCTGGGTTATCATTAAGTAGTCTAAGCAGCAATAAGGCATAGTGCAAAGGGTACTAGCTTTGAGCTTAAGACCTGTATTTGAATGCCTGTCCTACCATCTGTAACTGTGTGACCTTGAAAATAATTTAATCTCACCAGCCTCGATTTCTCATCTATGAAGTTGGGGCATGCATGCCTATCAGGGTTATTGCAAAAATTAGAATTTCACAACTATCTAAATAATAGACTTGGCAAGTCATGAAAGCTCAACAGAGAGAAATTATGATCAAAATATGCTCAATAATGGTTATATCCCTACTGAGGGTCTTCAGATCCCTAACCTCTGAGAGCCAATGAACTTTTAAGCTGCTCTGGCAACCTAACTATTCATGCTCAATAAAAAAAAAAAATTAAAAACCAACCAAATAAACAAACAAACAACAACAACAACAAAAAACACCTCCCAAAGGACCAAATTGTAGTCTCTTGTTCTCAGAGCACAAGGCTCAGCAAGCTCCCTCCTTGCCATTCATGACTAATGCATTGCATTCAATGTTTATCCCCTGGATGACAACCCAAGCCGCTGAGTCTTTTCTTTAAAGAAACAATCACAACATCATTTAAATAGAACAGAGAATGGAAATGCTGTTTATAACTCCACAAAATCTCTATTTTCAAATAAAGTTAAAACATTGATTATCTTTCCTTCTTTTCCCTTTGAACACAAAGATTTCAGCTTTTACTAAAACCAAAGGGCAGGACCAGTTTTACTTGAAATGAAATAAATCCTATAACTAGACATAGCCTCATTCTTTGAAGAGCTTATTCATGGTTTCCTAAAGAGGCCCTTAACTCCCTGTAAAGTATATTACAGAGTCAGGTGAAAACTGAGTGTCTGATTTCAGACCACATGAACCTTACTGGCAGGGCCTGGAAAAACTCTTCCTTTCAGAAGGTGTTTGTTTTGTTTATTTGTTCTGTTTTGTTTTCTATTAGAAACCCGTATTTCTTTATAGTGCTTTTTGTTCCATGACATGGGCAAATGGAAAAGGCATATAGGTTTTAAAATTAGATAAACACAAATATAATCCTGGCCATGCTGTTTACTTGTGAGCATGGACAAGCATTCCAAAGTCATATTTGCTCATCTGCAAAATGAGCAAATCACTGTCTGGATACTGCTCTGGATTGTTTACATCAGAGGTGGGCAAACTAGCATCTGATTTTGCACTGCCCATGAGCTAAGAATGGTTTGTGCATCTTATAAAGGTTTGGGGGTTGGGGGGAGGCAATTATTTTCATTTTGGTTATATAAGTACTTAAATAATATTCTTGATTTGTGCATCTTGACCCCCAAAACTTAAAATATTCACTATGTGACTCTACCAAAAATGTTTGCTGACTCTTGGTTTAGATGATTAGGTAGACTGGGAATCTTAGGTAGGTGCTGTATTTGCCTGGAATATGGAAGTGCTTAATAAACATCAGTTCTGCTCATTGGAAAGACAAACTCTGGCTCTGTGTAATAAACAAAAATTTAAAACAAGAGCTTTGTAAATGCTTGACAGTTTCCATTACACGTAAACTTTGTGGTAGTGGAAAATTTTTTGGTCTTTATGGAAGATAAATTTCCTTTCTTCAAACTAAAACTTCAGTATGATTTTTACACAGATTTTTTTTTAAAGAGATAGTTAAATTATTTAGAACAGATTTTCCTCCAAGTTCCTACTTTCCTAAGACAGGCTCTCATTTGGCCCTTGGAGAGGAAATCACCTTGAATCATTTTACCCTTTATGTTTTCTTGCATTTTGTTCATTTTCTACTGGGAACTTATGGTGATTCTGTTGTCAGACAAAAAAATATATTGAGTGGCATATTTGAAATATTTAGGGTTAGATTATGAAAGAAGCCTGGATTCAGTTGAATATATATATGTAAATTAAGGACTATTCCTCTCAAATATTCTTAAGAACAGAAGGAATTGCCACATATCAGTCTTTATTAATTTCAATCAATCAATAATCTTTATTTTACCAACCAATATACCATTGGGAGAGCATACATTAATACCATAAAAACCTCAGTCAATAAGAATTTTAGATGTAACAGAGGTTAAATAATGGAATTGTTCAGAAAACAAAGGCAGAAAAAAATAACACAGATTAAGTAATTATTCCTGGGGATATGATTTCATGATGGAAAGTGTTGAACATTATTATAAACAGCTTTTAAAGAACAATTTTAAAACAGCTCAATAAATGGCAATGCTGTGGATATCACAATTCCATTGCAACAGAACCAGGAGGAAGAAGCCATGTTTCCAAATACTGGTGTATGGGCTCTAACAGTCTGAGATAAAATTCACAGGGCATTATATGACTTAAAAAAAAAAGCACCAATATTTTCCCTTTTCCCCAAGTGCTCACTGTGTGAACATGGGTATGAAGGACTATAATAGGTTCGACAGCAATGGGGGTACACCTAGGAGAAGCTGAGCTCATAAACACTCCAAGATATTTGCAGACATCTTGAATAGCCATTACAGGTTTGAGAAGTTTGTGTAGTTCTGTGCAACCTGCTTTCCTGGCCTAGTTGGAACAACCATTTTGTTTATGATTTTATTAAAAAAAAATTCCAAACAGACTAAAAAGCTCAAAGAATAGGACAATACACATCCACTAGCCACTACCTAGATTTAATCATTGTTATCACTTCATCTACTTTTCCATCTATTTATTTGTATGCACATGTATGTGTGTTTGTATTAAGGAAATAGGTTACAGGAAATAAAACTAGGATAGTAGTTTTTTGTACCAAAATATCTAAGTTTGTGTCTTTTTTTAAAAAAAAAATATTTTTTAGTTGTAGTTGGACACAATACCTCTATTTTATTTTATTTTTTAAATTTTTTTTATTTTTTTTAATGTCGTGCTGAGGATCAAACCCAGAACCTTGCACATGCTAGGCCAGTGCTCTACCGCTGAGCCACAACCCAAGCCCGAGTTTGTGTCTTTTAAATAATATATTCTGTTAAATAAATGCAGCATTATTGAGATCGGAGTATTAGCAATTCCCTAAAAGTATTTAGTGTCAAATTCACATTCAAGTTTTCCTAATTGCCTCTAAAATATCTTGTATAGATTTTATCTTGAAACTAAAACCCAATCAGGTTTTTGTTCTGTTTTGTTTTGGTAGTCAGTCTGTAAGCCAGCTCCCCTCGATCCCTGCCTCCAGGTCTTAACTTTGTGTAACACTGCTACACTCCAAGCTTGAATTTGAGCTGGACTTAATAATTTCTAAGAATTAGAATTCAGTGGAAGAGACAGAATGTCTCTTTTGAGACTAAGCTATAAAAAGACTATGGGTTTCATCTTGGGCATTCTCTGCTCTGTCTTTGATCACGTGCCCTGAGAGAAGCCAGCTGCCCTGTTGTGATGCAGCCCCGGGGGAAAAGCTCCCTTGGCAAGGAGCTGAGGCATGCCAACACCCACATGAATGAGCTTGGAAATGCATCCTCCCACCCTTTCCCTCAGCTGAGCCTTCAGAGAGACTCCAGCCTGGACAATAGCTTGACTGCAACTTAAAGAGAGACCTTCACCCGGTGGCACCTTGCGGGGCTGAGTCCTGATTTCTCACCTCAGAAACTGAGATTACAAACGTTTGTTGTTTTAAATTCAGTGTATTTTAGTGTTCCTGTCATATTGCACTAGATAACTAATATGATTTAATTAGGCTATTATGTCTCTTTACTTTCTGTTAATCTTGAACAGCCTTCCAAATATTTTCCTTCTCAGTTTCCCAAGGATTTCATTTGCTTTAAAACAAAACAAATGGTTTTCAGTGACCAGGTCAGTTTTCATATGGAACATTCACAGTATCATAAGTCTATTTACTCAGTTGCTTCCCTGTAGTCATTTAACTTGTTTGTACATCCTCGCACTTTGTAAAAACTAAAAGTCATGCTGAAAATCCTCATTAGACTTTAACATTCTTAGTGTAAAAACAAAAATGAAAAAAAAAATTCACAGATAATGCTGTGCCCTTTGTATGAGATTACATCAAGAACCACAGATGCTGGGTTGCACCACCATTAGTGATGCCAATTTGAATGCATTAGGTGGTTTCCACCAATTCTCTAATGTAAAAACTCTTCCCTCCCCTTTCCAATTAGCAAGCAATTTCCTAATGCACTTTGGATGCTGTGAACTCCCTTTACTGAATAGTGCAGGGAGAAAGCTGTCTGTCTGGAGAGGAGCCCAATAAGACAGGCAAACAGCTCCTTAGAAATACAGCCATAATCGATGTGTTGAAATGCTTCTGCGCTTTTCACATAAGGATGATGAAATACATTTCACCACAGATGAATATTAACTCTTCCTACAATACATGAAGGTAAATGAATGTAAGGTTTTAGCATCTAAGGTGCTTAACTGAATTGGGAATGTTGTCTCCCCTGACAACTTGCTTCCATTTGTTCTATCTATAGGAATTAAACATTCACATATAAAAATTACCAACATTAGAGTAAAGCAAAAAGCCATTGCTGACTTTTCTAATCATACACATACATATTGGCAGATAATGAAAAACAGTTGTACACAGCCTCAGATCTGACATTACCATCATTTTACAAGTTTGAGGATAATTCATAAACAGAAAAAAAACCTGTGCTTCCTCAGGTACTCATTGTCTGATTAAGTGCGAAGATTTCGTTCTAAATATTCTTCACTATGACTGAAATTAGAAATAAAATGGAGAAATTCAACCCTCAAAAAAATGGAATTCATCTCAGAGCCAGTTTCTTATTTCAAACTGTGCTTTTCCAGTTTGATAGTGAGGAATAACATAGAAAAAACATGAAGCAATATATTTTTCATTTGAAACATAATTAACTAATTATGCAGAACTATCACAATCTCTCTTTTTATGTTAAAATGGGGTCTTTAGTTTCAGTCCCCTCAAAATGTTACCATAATTCAGTAATGAAAGGCATCCCATCCATAAAGTAATAAGTTTCAGTTAGAATTTAGTGAAACATTACCTCCAGCAATTAAGAGGTAACAAAACACTGTTTTTTTTTTCCTCCAGAGAGATTTTTAAAGAAGACAATCACATTTCATAAATAATTCCTGAGTCAGAGTCCTTGCTTAAGCAAGCTATTAATATATTTATATTTAGTTATGGTATTTGTGAGTTGGATGTTACATAAAGTTTATCTTCATGAATAAAAATTAGTCAAATACACAGCAGAAATAAATGATATTTATCTCACAAGGCTTTTGCATAGTTTTTGCTCACTTATTTGTATAATGTTACTGTCAGCTGGTGAGTACATGTGGAAATGGTCATAAAGAATCAAGGACTTGAATAGACAGAGGGAAAACACCTGAATACTGAGACTTTCAACAAAAATGGGAATTTGCTGTTTTTCTTTGCTCTATTTTTGGGAATTCTGCTTTGTTGATGCAGCTTTCATGTTTACAAATAAGTTGAAGTAATTCATCAGTCATCACTGAAAAAATTATTTCCCTTTCATTTTAATGGACTGTACAATACAATAATGTAAAGTCTTTCTCAGCACTGCTATGGTGGTAGTTTACTCTTTCCTTAGAGGAAACTAAACTTACTACTGAAAGTTTGTTCAATTAATCTTTTCTAAATTAGGTTCCACATATGAGTGAGATCATACAGTACTTGTCTTTCTCTTCCTATAAAAGTTGATCTCATCCAAGTTGAGAGTAGATGGTGGAAGTTAGAAGCCTTGGAGGTGGGGACAGGGAGGAAGGAGGAAATATTGCTCAGTGAGTACTAAGCTACAGTGAGACAGAAGTAAGAAGTTCTGGTGTGCTAGTGCACAGGTGCATGACGACATTTCAAAAAGCTACAAGAAAGGCTTTTGTAAATTTTCATCCTAAAGAAATGATAAATATTTGAGGATATAGGTAAGTTTAACCTGAATTAAATATTACACAGAGTGTATCAAATATCACATGGTAGCTCATTAATATGTATAATTTTTGTGTTTTATGTATCAGTTAAAAATAAATTTACTTTAAATTTTTAAAAATTAATCTTTTTTAAATAAGGTAACACATCTGTAATGAATGGACAGATTCTTTGACATATTGACCATTATGGCCTGTTTTATATATATATATATATATTTATTTTTTAGTTTTCCGCAGACACAACATCTTTGTTTGTATGTGGTGCTGAGGATTGAACGCGGGCCGCACGCATGCCAGGCAAGCGCACTACCGCTTGAGCCACATCCCCAGCCCCATTATGGTCTGTTTTAATTAGATGAAAGTTATTTCCCAAACAAACCCATATCTTCCTTTTTGATGATTAACAGGTGAAGAGGACATAGAGAACCACTTTCCTGTGTCCCCTATTCCCTTCCTGGGAAGGAAGAAAGGAAGGAAGAATTCTGGCACTCATGATTCCATCTCTCTGAAAGGAACCCTTTCCCAGTGACTCAAAGGCCATCTGTGCACAAGGTCCATTTGCCTTATGGGTAATACCAATTTTCCAAATGAACAAGGCTCATCCAGCTCATGAACATTTAATAGGACTCAGTATTGACCATGTTTGAAGTTCTAAATACTTAAGAAAACTCCACTCAAGTGAAAAGTTTTTGCTGTCAATTTAGTTTTCACCAGAGATTCCACAAATCTCTGTAGGACTAGCCACATTTAATTGAAGGATTCTTGTTTCCCAGAGGAAGTAGTTAATCAAATTTTCTCCTTTGCCATATATCTTATTAAAATAAGGTCTTAA